ATATAATTTATGACGTCATATTGATAAATATTATTTGGAAATTGAACTTTTTTTTTAAAATTGAGACACTTTTCTGTACTATGAATTGCAGACCAATACAAATTTCGTTATACAGGGTGATTCAAAAAGGACTTTAAAACTTTGAAAGTGTATAGAAATTTATTCGGAAGGCTTACAGAAAAATTCAGTATACGAAGATGACTGTCTTCTTGGTTGTAGCGCCGTGTGTCCTGGTAGAAGTTTACCGAAGTTTCAGAGGTACTTCGCCTGAAGATTGAGGCAGTAAGGATCTCTGAAATGTCTGTAAACTTCTACCAGACTACACGGCACTACAACCCAGAAGACAGTAAAGTCAGTTTAGTAAAACAGAGAACAGCCGATGGAAAAGTGTTTAAGCAAATTTAAAGGAAATAACATTTTTATCAAAAGACACGAGAGATACGATTAGTTTAAAAACTGTTCCGATAATATTAAAGTAAAAAGTTTATACCGTGATGCGGGAAAGTCGAGTGACTCTGACAAGGAGAGAAAACAGCGTTTACCATTGCCCTTGAGAGTTAACTAATTTTTTTTCACGAAACACTTACTGTCAGTGTTTCTACTCTGCGAGCCCCCTGCATCTACTTCTTCGTCTAGACGCAGTGCTTCTGTTTCGGTTATCGAAACGTTTACCTCCGCTGAGTCAGACGCAGTTATTGAGTGTGATTTCCGGGAAACTGAACTTCGTATTAACAGGAACGGAATGGAGGATTCCGAGGTCTTGTAACCCGGGTTTCAGGGATCGGGAAGGGACTCGATCTCATGAACACCCACTGTTTAATATTTCTCACTTCACCGATTGTGTATTATTGAATACATTTTTGCGGTAAACTTTCACAGTGGGTTATCCTAGAGTTTCTTCAAGATAAATAATTACAAATGGTCAGCTGCAGTGTATTTTTCTGAAATTTCTTTTTGGTGTTTTTGAAACGCTTTACGGTATTGAGTGCGTCGTGCAGCTAATACTGATGTGTACAGAATTTAGCCTCAATATTTGATTTCGTTCGATAGGAACCTTTTCTTCTACGCTGACCATCAGTGGGCGTGGGGAAGGATGTTGAGAAACGAATGGAAAAATAATTGTAACTTAGTATAGAACCTCATCCCTGTCATTTTGTATGAACCTTGTTCGTATTATCACATCCATTTTCAAAACACATTATGGTTTTGACTTATAAATGGGTTTTAAGTACCATCAACACTTCGGACACGGAGCTGATACTCAACACGTACATTGTGACGCCAACTTCCACGGGAGGACCTGCAAAGCATCACAATTAACCACAGGCGTGACTACAGGTACAAACTAACACACACACACACACACACACACACCTAACAGCTCGTGACGGCTGTAAAGGACGTGGTTCCAACTCTCTGAGTCTGCCGCTGAGTTTTGTGTCGCAAAATTCAAAATTCTATTTGTTTCCGACGGACGGGAGTCCGCGTAACTGGCTCTTTCTAAAAACCACGTGACTAGGGCGACGCCAGGATGTTCCCCCGTGTAGCCTGGTAAATAGTGACGGGTGTTTCAGAGGATTTTATTCAGGAGATTCTGAGAGGTTACATTAGCAATTTATAGGTGTGTAGTTGGTGTTCTTACTATGGACACTCCTAGGCGTGTCTGCAGTAAATTTACATCGTTTTAAACATGGGCAAAGGACAGTTTTTTTGTTCGTAAAATATGTTCATATTGTTACATGCGAAGATTTTAGAAAAAGCCAGTGGTAGCATGTATATACAGGGTATACACAAAAGAATGGTGCGGTTTCAAAAGTTGATAAAAACATTATTTCTCACCTTACACGGGCACAAATGGTGAGAAATGTTTTTATTAACTTTTGAAACCGCGCCATTCTTTTGTGTGTACCCTGTATAATTCCATAAATATTGTTACGAAACACAATAGTAATATTTTTAAACATTTGCCGGTAACAAACAGGGTTATTTTTTTTTTTTTAAAGATCCGTGGTATTAGTGACCCAGAAGGTTGGTACCGACAAGCGATCTGCTGAAACTTACAGTAAGTAAAAACAGCTGAGTACAATTTCAGTGAATGTTTCTGCAGCGTGAACACGTTTCTGTAACAAAAGCGTGGTTATGTGAACTTTGGGCCGTCGTCATAGGAACACGTGATGAACCACAGTTGCACTTAGAGTAACAGTAACGTAAGAACCAAACAAACTTACGATGGATGTGGGTGCGGTGGGCGGGGGAGGACGGGGATCGTGTCAGTGCGTTGTGTGAAACGTCGCCATGCGCCTATTGTCTGTCTGTCTGTCCGTCTGTCTGTCTCACACTTGTGACGGAACATCTTGCTTGTGGCCGGCCACTACGGCTCGCTGTAGTAATGTCACATCACTCAGCGTTAAAAAGAATATGTAAACAGGAGTAAAAGTGTATTCACAAAACTCGGGGCCGATTTCAATTCAACTGAGCTTGGAAAAAAAAAAAAACTTTTCTTAAGAAAATTTGGAAAAATGTCCCGCACGTTTTAGCAGGGAGATGGAATATTATAAGATATTGATGCAAAGTTGTTTTGTGTTCGTTTGTATATTTCGTGAGAAAACTGTAACAACTCTGTTCGTGAGAAAGTGGCCCCGGTTTCATTTTTGTGTGTTAGATGGTTTTAACGCCCACAGATAACATGCGAAATGTCGGTTTGAACATAAAAAGTAGAACACAGGTAATATGTGGTTCAGGAGAATATAAAAGATAACTAAAGTAAGGAAAATAACATTAAACAAATTATTAAATAATACATTATTAAAAAAAATATTATTTTAAATAATACATAAAAAAGAAATGTCTAATGATTTCAAAATGGTGGATGCTGAACATTAAAGTCGTGTAGTACCATTTTTACTTCAGAGAGGGAGCTGATACTGAGGACGTACATGGTGATCCCGACTTCAACGGGCGTACCTGCAAAAATATAACATCACACAGACACTGTCGCCGGAAGAATGTAACTTTGACTCCGAGAAGAAATGCTCATTAAAAAATTCATGACCTCAACTGTCATTTAATAAGATGTTACACACATGCGATAAAATTTATCCTGACGTCAAATATCGCAAGTGCATTTTGGGGCAAGAATCGAGAATTTGTGCCTTAAACAGCGCAAGTCAAATTCTGTTTCTTAACTTCGATTTCATTAGTCTGTTCGTGAAACCTTAGTTTATAATCTGAATATTTGACAAGAATGACAAAGTTTAAATCTGTTAAAAACGGACTGAAAATTAATATCATATGCACAGAAAGAATTTCTATAATAAAAATATCAGCTTGTTATCTATTCTGTATGTCCTAATGTGTTTTCTGTATTTCTTCCCTTATCTTATATTATGTTAGGATTTTAATTTCTATTGAATACTTCTTGTTTGAATTTCATTTTCCTCGTCAAATTAATTTAGTGGATTTGTTCTTCATTTTCTGACGTTTATCATATCAGACGTTTTGTGCTATTTGATTTGTTATTTATAATCGTCCTATCTTAGTTATATTTCATTTTGTCTGTTCATGCCGACTGGGAGTGGTCTTGAGTGAACCAATTGCATTACATCCAAAATATCAATAGAGAAATAATTAGCAGAAATTCTTTTAAAAAAATATTTTGTATTTCTTTAACGTTATATTTTATATAATCGAAATCAAATTCAAGTTTTATACCTAAAACAAAATTGAAAATTTTTACATTTACAGTTCGTTGTTACGTCGAACAGAACGTGATGAGTGGTTATTGACAATACTTGGAACAACACAACAAGCTGATAGTGACCAAGTGCTTCATTTCGTGTCGCCATTGACACAGTTAACTCTCACCACACACACCAAGGAATTTGCTAAAATGCATCTGCGATATTCTTACGACATGAGAAGTTACATTTTGCTTTGATGGACATTCCACCGCTGAGTACATTTCACTTTGTCGGGTGCTCTACACTCCTCTCTTCAAAGCAACGCGTGCCGTTTTTTTAGAAAAAAATCAACGACTGTGTGTTATTTTTAATATTATCCTGCAGTTGCATTCGAAAATTAAACTGTCCAACTTTTTATTGAATCCAATTTAAATATCCGCATAAATAAAATTGAGAATCCAATTACAAGTTTTTGCTTTTGATATTTATAAAAAAACATCGTAGTTTAGCGAAGAACGTAAAATATTCAGCATTTTGAAGATGGACAATTTGATTTGAATTTTACTGATTGCTACGGAGTTTTTACACAGGAACCATATTATATGAACAGATTCTTTAATATTCAATAGACGTACACAGACTATACTATTCTGTCATTCACTTTCTATCACGGTTAACTTGATTTTCTACAAAAGAATCACAAAATGGAGGAGGCACTATGTTTGAATTTTACATTTATACCTATTAATTTACCTGACGTGTGTGTGTGTGGGGTGGGGGGTGGGGGCGTGCTCCAAAACGGAACATTGCATTGGCATCTGAAGGCCGCTTGATGAAGGAAATTGAGCGAGGTTTCGTCTTATGATTGTCTTCGTTAACGCGTCTAATGAAATTAGCAGAATGCCGGGGCGAACAAACGGAATGAATGAGTAAGTTAAATCACAACATGGCGGCTTAGCGCCTTGCTGTCATCGCAAGAGCCAAGACATTATTCTAGCTGGATGAACAGTTTCACTTCATTATCGCCCAAGAGACTCCAGTCGACTGACAAAACTCGTCTCAATATATGGTAGATCTCAGCATTCAAACCGCGCTTCTAAACAGCGAATTTAGAAGATATAGGACGTTTGTATGAGTCTTTATTATTGACTGGGATTTCTGCACTTTTCGTCTTTATATACGTTTATTCCAATAACGTGACCATGCCATGTACCGTCTTTAATCTGTTCGATCCTTTATTCCATTTCTGCTGTAAACTCTTCAGTAATTACAGCCTTCGACACTTGTACTGAAGTGTTTTAATCGTACATCTTCTTAAAAGCAGAATTATGAAGTGTTATTAAGATGAGATTTGTTTTTCAAACGACTAGTCCGTAGTGCAGGTTTCAAACGTTTTTCTCCACAGAGCTTAAAATTTGCTTTGGGTTTACCTACCTCTGTGGAACGCTATATTCTGGAATTTGCCATAAATAGAGAATTTTACTTATGTGAACACGCGTGAATGTCATTTTGATGTGAACATCTTAAATATGAGCGCGATTTTCTGAGTTTGGCGTGACGAATCAGTCTCAGAACGGTCTAAGCTTATACCAGTTGGTATCGGTCCTTCTGTAGACTTGTAAACTCTAGAGGCCTCCATCTTAGTACAATCTATAAGTTAAGTGACTCTTCTAGACTGTATCTGAACAAACTGTTACAAATTCTTCCTACGGGATGTTTATTCGCCGTCCTCGGTTTAACAGATTTTCTCTTAACTCAAGGACGTCACTGAAATAGCAGGCATTCATCGAGCTGCAGTGCTGATGGCTAATACTTCGCCCGCTTATTTAACCTGGCACGCATACACCCTAGTATATAGTTAGATTTATTATAAAGATGGTTATACATCTATTCATAACAAATTCAGTTCGTAAATCAACCATGCATAAGTCAAAATTGTATTCGCTAAGATATTATTGGTCACGAAGCCTGAAGGGAAGAAGCCTCTCGGGAGACCTAGACGTAGATGGGAGGATAATGTCAGGCCGGATCTATGGGAGATAGGAGTTGAAGGAGACTGGATTTTGTTGGCCAAGGACAGGGTCCGGTGGAGGGCTTTGGTTAATTCGGTGATGAACCTTCGATTTCCCTAAGCCATCTGGTTGGTTGGGTCCACTATTTGGGAAGCCTGAGGGGAAGAGACCACTGGGGAGACCTAGACGTAGATGGGAGGATAATCTCAGGCCGGATCTATGGGAGATAGGAGTTGAAGGAGACTGGATTTTGTTGGCCAAGGACAGGGTCCGGTGGAGGGCTTTGGTTAATTCGGTGATGAACCTTCGATTTCCCTAAGCCATCTGGTTGGTTGGGTCCACTATTTGGGAAGCCTGAAGGGAAGAAGCCTCTCGGGAGACCTAGACGTAGATGGGAGGATAATCTCAGGCGGGATCTTTGGGAGATAGGAGATGAAGGAGACTGGAGTTTGTTGGCGCAGGACAGGGACCGGTGTAGGGCGTTGGTTAATTCGGTGATGAACCTTCGGGTTCCGTAAGCCATCTTAGTTTGTTAGTTAGTTAATTATTCACGAAGAAATTAATGTATTTAATTTTTGTTATTCCGTTCAGACACTCTTATGTCTTCTCGTCTGCTATATAAAATGTAAAGATTAAAAAAATTAATTTACCTGTTATTTCGTATGACTTTGAAACTAGTCTCACATTTTAACTCTTTAACATCGAGTGGTAACTATATGTACCATATGTTATAACAGTCAGTAACCGTGAATTTTGTTTTTAATGTTTCGTATGATTTTCAGTGTAAAACAGGGATGTACTACACTACACATCATCTGCCAATTGAGCTTCGTAATGGTGAAGTGTTGTGTTTTCTTTGCGGTACGGACTGAATTGTTAAATATTATTTGAGCGAGTTCGGGTTTAAAGGGTTAAGGGTATAATTTAGACTAATGTTTTGCGTGTAAGAAGAAGATGGAGAAGGTTTACGTGTTTAAAACCAGGGCGCTGAGAAGTTTAATGACTTTAATCTTACATCTCTGGGATTATAATGATTCAGACTAAATAAAGGCAGGGAAGGCACTTGAGGTAAATGTAGTCTCTGTTCCAAAAACACCCACTACCTGTCGACCATACCCACATATTTATCCTATGTGTTTTTTTTTAGAGTTTTGAAGTTTATTAACAATTTTATTTGAAAGTTTATGCAAATTTGAGGGACGAAGAGGACTACACTAGACTGAAGAGGACTGTATGAAGTAACTTGATTTTCTTACGATGTTTTCAGTAAGGTTAGTAAGACCATCTATAACCGGCTGTAATTGCGAGGTTTCGTCTCTTAAAAAAAAATTTTAGAGTGTTTTTATTGCTGATGCATTTTACTTTGACGAGAATTAAACCTCACTCTACTAATTTTGAAATGTTGTTAGCACGAAGCTGATTTGCGACGTAGTCTGCATGTCGTGTCAGAGATGTTTTCCTTGTGCGTGTGGTCGATGTGCCGGTGTACGGGATGCGTGTTGGTGATGAGAGATAGCGAACCACGGTCGTTTGTTGCCGTGCTCCAGGGGAATGTCTGGGGATTCGTCAACTTCAGGGTCAGAGCATGTAAAAATGCGTGTCTCTGTGTTTTTGCAGTGAGTGAGACCAAGTCGCGTTGAAAACGTTTTGTTCGCCACTTTATCTGAGGGATTAATAAACTGACATTTCTAAGTCTTTTTGTTATCTTTCTGTTTTATACGTGAGTGACGGACAAACATTCGCGGGGTGTGGACAAAAATATTCCGTGTACTCTGGTAGGACCGCGTCCTATTTGAAGGTTTCTGAAGACTCGGCGATTAAACTCGAACGTGTCAGCTATGTTTTGTCTGTGAGAACTTGAGGCAGGTGGAATTCATTAAATTGTGAGTGAGTGTGTGTGTGAGTGAGCATTCTTGCCGTGTTCTGCAGTAACTTGGCTGCGGTTCGCCTTGGGCCGGATTTTGATCGATACAGCGTCGCCTCCAGAGAGTGTGGAGGCGACGTGCCCTTCCTCCAGCCTCTGCAGAATCCAGAGTGCCCTGAAGGGATTCCGTTGAGGATATGAGCACGTCAGAAGTTGGGCGAACGTAGCTCTAAGGGCGAGTGGGCGGGATTCTAGCGTGTGATGGTCTTAACAGTGAAGACGTGAAGGTTAATTGCCCCTTTCCACGTTATGGTTACAGAAGAGAAACGGTCACATTGTATCTGTTTCATTTTTGTCAGTAAAGGGCGGTCATTTGCAGTCATTTTACCTTGACATAATGTGATGTAAATTGTGTTTGAAATGCAGCTACGTGCGTGTTTGACTGCACGAGGGAGAGACATTCGTGAGAAGGCGACAGGCGCTCAGGTAGTCTAGAGGTCCCCTGCTGTTTCGTGTGACCCAAAACTTTACTTCGTGACCCACAGTAGCCCGCCGTGTTTCTAGATCCTGAACCATGTGAATACAGTCTACACCCTCCCTTTTTACCTAAGATGCATTTTAATATTATCATTTTATATACATGTAGATCTTCCCTATTCTCTTAAGGCTTTGCGCAACTTATCGTATTTCCCATGCGTGCTACGTGTTACGTCTAGCCAACCCTCATTGTTCTTACATCTGTTATGAAGGCCCGGTTTTAACACTTGATACATTGTACCTCGAAAAGAGAAATTGTGAAAGGAAATTTGAGTTAAATATGGTGTCAAGATGACTGTCTTCTGGGGGGGATTTCGACGTGTTTGAGATCTGTCTTGCTGCCCGCATCATCAGGGCGATGAATACTGATAATGGTGTCAGTAAACACCTCTGAAACGTCGATGAACTTGTACCAGACTCTACAGCAAATTTCTGAGAAGACAAGTCTTTTTCATACTCCTCGCCGTAGGAACGTAGGACGTGTGGTGTTCATTTAGAGTTGCAGGAACTACTTTCTTCGCGGATACGCCAGTCGTGTTGTCGATGTTGGATGCGACTGAGTGCAATAGATAGCAGAGTTATCACTCGGAGACATGTTGCCGTCTGTGTCTGAACCTTTCCTTTGATAACTTGAAAGCTAGCAGAAATAGCAGATTCTTTGGCCTTCATAGGTTAATAAAATAATGTAAAGGTAATGACGAGTTGCTCTAACGAGAAGATGAAGGCAGGAACTGAAGAAAGTAGAATGTGGCTATTATGGTGGATGTAATTGGATGGAAGATAAAGAAAGATCACAGGGAAAGTGAGGAAGCAAGTCACGAAAGGAACGTTTTGATAGCATCATCGGAGATGGAGAATGACGTAGAGAATGCTGTTTGCTCATCCAACTCCAGATGCCGTGCCCTGGAGTCGGTTCTGAAACCGGGCACAACCGATCGATACAAGATACCAGCTCCACCCAGTCTCAAGATCGCGAAAACCGCCGAATCATTTGATTTCTTTTCGTCTGTATTGTGTTTTAAACGATGTCTTGCCTTCATTTATATGCAAGAATCAAAGAGCAAGGATGCACAGGGACACATAGAAAATAATAACCGCGGACGAAAATTAATCTACCTTCCGTCTGAATCTGTTAATGGACTCGTTGTCTGGTGCTGCCACGAAATAATTCCCGCGATAGAAATTTAAATTTTTTTTGGGAATGAAATGGTATAAGGAAGAGGTGACATATGTAAACGTGTTGTATTATTTTTCACTCTTGGTTGTTTCGTGTATTGTGAGTCTTCCGGTTTCTCAGGTAACCTCGATTGCGTTATGCATTATCGTCGTAAAGCATTATTTGTCAGTCTGATGGACAAAGTTTTGTCATAATCTTTAATAAGTTTATAATTTTCCGAGCTGGTTAAGAAGTTGCACCCGCCTTTTATGTAACCGAACGTTCATAACCTTTTTGTATCTTATATGCGTCATGTTTGTGTTTGATTAAATATATTTATTTTGTACAGTCTATACACAAACGTTTGAAGTTTATTGGTGTTGTAAAAATTATATAATATTAAAACATTCTTTGTGCAAAATATTATATTAGCGCTCTTAATCGTAAATACGATTTTACATTATATTTTTTAGCGCTTTTATTAAAACGACATGTTTCGACGGGTAATACCGTCGTCTTCAGGTTTTTATCAATTTAAAATATTTTAAAAACTATTAGATATTTGATGCAATATATTATAATGATCCGTAGTTCTGTTTGTAGCTTTCCATTTTCATGGTAAGTTGCTTATTGTAGTCAGACGTTGTATTTAACTATGGATCATTATAATATATTGCATTAAATATCTAATAGTTTTTAAAATATTTTAAATTGATAAAAACCTGAAGACGACGGTATTACCCGTCGAAACATGTCGTTTTAATAAAAGCGCTAAAATATATAATGTAAAATCGTATTTACGATTAAGAGCGCTAATATAATATTTTACACAACAAAATGTTTTAATATTATATAATTTTTACAACACCAATAAACTTCAAACGTTTGTGTATAGACTGTACACAATAAATATATTTAGTTCATTACCTTGTACACAAAAGCCTGTCATTGATCCCTACCCTGAGATGAATCCAGTCCACACGTTCCCACCCTATGTCTTAACCAACATTTTAATATTATTCTACGATGTTTAGCCGTGTTATTTTTCGAGCGATCTTTTCACGCATTTTTCTGTGTTCCACTGATCCTTCGTGATTTAATCATTATAATAACACGCCTGATCGATGAGTAGTACAGCTACGAAGCTCCTCATTATGAAGTTTTCTCCATTCAGTCGTCACTTCTTTGGCCCAAATGCCTTCCTCCCACGCGTTTCCAAATAAGTCTGCAGGTCCTCGTTAAGAAGGAGAGCCCAAAGTTTCACGTCCGCACAAGACAAGAGGTAAATTTAATCGTTACGCTTTCAGGAAGATGAACCGGGCGCTTCTCTGTTCCGCTGCCCGCGAATAAGGAAGGGTCTGAGTGGCTGCGGGAAATAAGGCGATAACCGAGTTACTGCACCTCGCGGCTTCCGGCTACCTTCTCGGATTGAGTCGTTTCGGCAAAGTGGGGTGGGATTGGGTAAGGGGCTTGGACACTGCCGACAATTACTGGCTGATAGAGCTCTCTTCCGTCCCTTTTATGTCTTACGTCATTCCCTCATTCCCTTATAATTCCCTTTCTGATTCACGCTTGTATCTTGATTACCGAACAGTGACTTGCAGAGGGGAAGTTTGAGGTCATAGGACAGACCGTCACATCGTCTTCCGGGCGTCCTGGTGCTTTGTTACTGTTCTCAGCGACTCCATAAAGGACATGGCTATTCTGACTTCGGAAGGACCACGATTTCTCGACTTCGTTCGTTCGTACCACACCGGATTCCACGCTGCACGTCCCCTGTACAGCACACCATCGCCGTTGTCGGGGGGGCTACGTCCTTAAAAATCTTCGCGAACGGTGAAACCGCGTATAATGATTATTTGTTCGGATGACGTCGGCGTCCAGGGCCGATGGTTTTGTCAGGGCGATCGAACACAGGGCAACAGTAATTTCTAGGAATTGTCAAAAGTGTAGTCGAAGTGCACTTGGGGTGGCGTGGTATCTTTGTAACTACTGAGGCGAGTCGTTCGCCTGCTCAAAAGCGATTAAGGAAACCCCGAGGGTCCAAAGCTGCGATACGCAAACCCACAAGCGAGGAGGATCTTCTGAACTTGCTACGTACGTCTGTGATGTGACTGTAAACAAATGAATATATAGTTTTGTTTTCCCTTGAGCATCTGCTCCGTCATTCATCTGTCATTCACGTTTCCCGTCTTCCTTCCTGCCTTGTTTATCGTCTTTCGCTACGTCTGTGTTATTTTGAATCGAGATCTCGTGAAGCGTTCATACACTTGCTTTCAAGTCGATTGCACTTCTGTAACGGTGACTTCGGGAAATCTGCTTCGTTTTATGCCTCCCCTCCCCTCGGAACAAGGCGGCGGACTGCATTGGTGCAACAGTTAACAGTGCAAAAGTACTTTCATAAACACTGCGAGCATTACCACTTTTGTTGGAAACAGTTAGTCCACATCAGGCTGAGGAAGAGAGTATTTGGAACTAAAATTATTCTGTCAGGACTTTTTCCATCGTCTGTTCTTCAAAATCACGACGTTTCGGAGGCTGGTTCTGTCTCCGCCTTCATGTGAGAGTGACAGTCCAGTGACAGAGACTAGCTCTATCTATGGGACCCAACAGAGCGTGGTAATTATTACAAACTCATACGAAATTTTGGTCCGAAAACAAGAAGGAAAGAGATCACTTCAGAGACCTAAACATAGATAGGAGGATGATATCAAAAAATGAATGCCTAGTGGCAGGTTCGTGTGGACACAAACTTCAAAATCCACAGAAGAGGAAATTTTTGACTTTTTCTGACCGGCTGTCAGATTCTCAAGAAAAGGATTGTTACAAACGAGTTATAAAAATAAAGCGAGTAACAATGTTCTTCTGTTTAGATTTTATTTTTTGATGGCTTCGAATATGAAGATTACTGTCTTCTTTATCGTTGGGACGTGTAGGAGTTCAGAAATTTGCCACAGTTTCGGTCTTTATTACTGCTTCCATCTTCAGGGCCGCCAGTCTCCCTGATGACAGAAGCAATAGGTACTTCTGAAACGTCTGTCAGTTACCAACGATCGTAATTAACTTCACAGTATGTGATGAAAACTTTATAAAATCCCTTGATAATTGCAGACACTTACCACACCGAAATAATCTCGTTTCCATAGTAGCCATTAGCGAGCAGTGACGTTTAGCTTTAAAATTCCCGTTGAAGTGAAATGTACCGTCGGGGATGGCATGGTCACTGTAGGCAGCATTTTGCGCTCTAAGAAATTGGAAATATGAACATTGGGCGAGGAACAGTTCAACTTACCTCCATAATTAGGTCTTACTCTTTTGTCGTAACTTGCGCTGAAGGAATCTAAAATGGCCGAGATGTTGACGTCACCCAACATGCTTCCGCCTCCAGTTCTGCAAAGAAGAGAGAACCATCGAGTAACAAACTCTGTGCATGAGATTGGTCGCTCAGACTGTCAAGGGAACTCGAAGGTTCGTAACAAATTTTTGTAAGTGCTCGGCACTAAACTCTATCGCAAGCCATGTCAATTCGGTCCAGATTATCAGATCCCACTTGAGGCTCTTTTTAATATTATCCTACCGTCAATGACTACGTCTCCCTGAATGGTAATATTCTGTTCAGCCTCTCCTACCAAAATTGTACTAGCCTTCTCATGTTCCGTGCGTGCTACATGATTATTCCATTCTCTGTAGTTGATCAGGATAATTAATATTGGTCGCGGTGATGCGAAGCCTCTCGTTTGGTAACTTGCTCAAGTTCCTTTCCACTTTTCCTTTCTTATTTTATTATTATTATTAGTGTTCTGTCTGACGACAGGTCCATATGAACAGGATCCTTCCATCCTTTTCTCGGACTGGGACCTGTTCATATACGTTCTTGGCAGATGATCCAGAAGTGGGTTGCCATTGCCTTCTTCTGTGTGTGAATGAAGTAATTGTTGGGATGCCATTATTTTGTGTTCTGTCTGACGACAGGTCCATATGAACAGTATCCTTCCATCCTTTTCTCGGACTGGGACTTGTTCATATACGTTCTTGGCAGATGATCCAGCAGTGGTTTGCCATTGCCTTCTTCTGTGTGTGAATGGGGTAATTGTTGGGATGCCACGGAGGAAAACTCCGTGTTGCCTAGACCACGGCCTTGCCCAACACAAGTTATAAATTCGGGCACCGCCGGGAATCGAACCCGAGACCCCAGGATTACAAGGCCAGCGTTCTAACCTTTCTTATGTCCAAATAAAAGTAGATAATATAAATTGTGCTCACAATATCAATGTATCGTACATTTATTAATCTGTAGTAATTTCCAGATTGAACACATATGTGGAATTCTATGTTTTTCTTGTATGTTCTTATGTTTCGTTTACCGTCGGACATATTATTTGTTTTATGTCTATTTATTAAACACGTAGTTTGGATTAATCAAGAATGCGAGATATCTCTAGACTATTTGAACGCTTATAACCTGATTTTAGTTGCTGGGTATTTCGCGTCGCATGAGATTGTACCATTTCTGTAACTGCAATCAATGTAATTAATTTACAGGCGACCGTATATTTTCCTTCGGAGGCATTTTTCCTTCCTTGTTGTTATTTTCCTGTCAGACTGTTTGCTCAGATTTTGCGGATTAAACAGGAGCTTCTATAGTCCTTTCTCTGTTTTGCAGACTAATAATTTTAAGCTGTCATTGCAGCGCGACCCCAAGACGGGGTAGGAATGTGAGTTATTTTAGCTGCAGCTAGCCAGCAGAAGAGACGAAAATGAAATTAATTCGGTCTGAGTAGATTTTCCTAAAAAAAAAAGGTCTGAATAATAAATCGCTGCCCTCACAAGAAAACCTCGTGTATCCTCAATATAGAGGAAATGAGATTGTCATGCCATCTAGCAGCCACCAGTTGGATTATTAGAGAAACATTTTAAATGGCATTAGCTTTTTTGGAGATGAGAATGTTTTTGTGAGGGCGAAGGAATATAATTCCATCCTATTCCTTCATATACTAGGTAAAATATAAACTGAATTGAAATAGAGCTGTTATAACCGTTTTGTCGATAAATATGAAATTACTTACGGAAATGTATTATTTGATTTATTACCTGGGATGATTTTAATTATTAATTGAAATTTTGCACTGGTAAGGTTAAAAATACCGATTAAATTACCTTTTACCTCTAGGATTTGAGGTTTTCACGGCGGTGAGTCTGAAGATGGCTATCTCATGGTTTGTAGCGCCGCGTAGTCTGGTAGAAGTTCAACGACATTTCGAAGGTCCTTGCTCCCTCCATCATCAGGTCGATTATTACTCATCGCCCTGATGATGGAGGCAGCAATGACGTCAGACCACGTGGCGCTACTACCCAGAAGACAGCCATCTTCGAATAAATTACTGTTTGTGTATTCCGTATTTAAGATTGCTGGATCAGGTGGTTAACTTCCTCGTCCAAATATTATTTAAGAATCCATTCCGTACCGCAAAGAAAACACTACACTTCACCATTACAAAAAATAACTGGTTAATGCAGTTTAAAGGAATAATCGCTGTTTACGCGTAGAATTATAAGAAACACATGAATACAAAATGCAGATTTGATTATTTTTAAAGTAGGTGGTATATATAGTTACCATTGAGATTTAAAGGTTTTAATCTATCTTTGATAACTAAAATTTATAAATTATTTGGTGAAATACAAGGGTCATGTGTATCGAATGGAGAGAGAGAAATTTTCTGAAGAAAAAGTTGTCAGTTGAACCACGGTTCCGGAGAATTTGACGTAAATACGTCT